TTTCTATATTCGAGAAATAAGAATGACACGTTCGGTGCACATTGAATGGTACTACGCAGATGACTTATTCGTAATCATTATGGATAAAATCATCAAATGAGTCATCTAAATCTCGAGCGGGTAAAATCTCCTTAGTCGCTAGCCCAAATTTTTTGAGGTGCCAATAAGTGAATTTCGGAAACTAAAACCTCTTTATTTGGATAACTATTCAAGTTTTTATAAACATTCAAGAAGGGTCAAATTTTGTTCTTTTTTTTTTACACCAACTATTGTTAAAGAAAACAAATTCTATATATGCACAATTAAATCACCACCCTTCTTGCGGGTGCGTGCGTATATTGGACCACGCTCTTTTACTACTATTTGTAAGTTCATAAAATTTATCAAGAAAATGTCACAGTCATTACTATCATTTAAGATAGACATGTAAGAAAACATTTAAGAAGAACGATTCCCTTGGACTTTCCTTTTCGAGTAAATGACAGTCATATGACTTCAGATTTTGGCGCATTAAGATTGTAATGATAAAAAGTGGTTTATTGTTTCGAAACTTAGAAATTACAATTGAAAACGTATATATTATTCAACTTAGAATATAGAGCAAAAAGTATTTCTATTAATTCATGAAACTTTTAAAATGAAATTTGGGCTATGATACATTTTTAATGAAGGGAACTAATTTTGGCTTAGAATCAAAGTAATTCAGGCTCTCTTGATTATTGATTATAATTACAAATGATGATTAATAAATATAAAGTGATATGACATCAATCAACCTGAGTACCACCGAAAGCAGAAAAGATTTAAGAACACAAAAGTGTGAAGGATCTGTTTGGTATTGGGAAAAATTGCTAAAATTATTTATTTTTATTATCCACTAACTCTACTTTTTTTGGAAAAAAGAATTTTTTTATTTTTATTTTGCACATACTCTATCAACATAAGTAGATAAATTAATTCATTCAAGGAGGTGAGAAGAAATAAAAAAAAGTTTAATGATATAAGTTTAAAATATATTTTTGGCTAACCTTAAAAGTTACTTACAGGATCTTGTTTGGTCTCCATTATGTTCAAAATCAATCATGCTGCATGCATATCATATTTTACATTGTGTCATTTAAAATAAACATTTTTTCCTGCCCACAATTTTTTGAAAATAAAGGGAATGTCATTCTCAATGGAATTTAATGAATGCACATTTAGCATTGTTGTTCCAAAATGAGTACATTTTTTTCTTTTTTTTTTTCAATCGCACATTTTTTAATAAAATAATATTATATGCAAATTCAAAAAAAATTCTTATTTTTTAACCACATATTTTCCATCAAAATACTATTCCAAAATTCATTTTGAGAAAAAAAATGTGGCTCAAACGACATATAAATAAATAAGTAGATTTTAATAAAAATAATATTTTTATTTGTGCACCTTCAATATTAATATGCTACTAACTGTGACAATATAACCCCTAAATGAATAAAATTTTAATTTTAATTTAATTCAAAGTAAACAATTAATTTTAACTGTATAATTTTTGGAATTCGCAATTTGTTAATCATACATTTCATTATTTTTTATCAAAATTTACTAAAAATTTAATTTTAATCTTGACAAAAAATGCATAGTGAAAACTACTTTCATAATTACATAGAGAAAAAAAAAATCACTCTTCTGCTTTTCGAGGCAACTTTTTCTCCTACCAAACGCGTCTTTAGAATTGTCAGAAAACACTAACAAATTTCAAAAGCTACCCCAAATCTCCTCATCTCTATTTCTAAGCGTCCATTTCCTGCGATTTTCCGGCGAGATCTACGATCAGGTAAATTCAATGAACCCGTCATTTCTATTTTCTTGTTAAAATTACTATCTATTTTTAATTTCCTGAAAATTCAACCGATTCTGTGTAAAATACTTTCCTTTTAGGGTTGCCGGACATCCAATTTAGTGTATTTCTCCCTTTGAACGCCTACAAGTTATGAAATCAGATAGTGTTTATGTAGTATTTAATTATTTGTATTGCCGGAAAATATAAGTTACAGTTTGTGTGTTTTTGTGGCTTCGAAAGCTGTTGGAGCTGGAGCATGTGGAATTGTTTTATGTGCTATTGTTTTGACATTTAGCGCCTGAAAATGGGAAATGTAAAATCTTTCTGAATTGAGTCGATGTGTAAGTGTTCATTTGTAAATTTACAATTTTAAGCTGGAGTGCGATTCATACCATCTAGAATTGGATCTTAAAATAGAATCTTTATATAGTTAATTATTAGTCATTGAACTTAATTATATGCAGCCATTTAGAGTCCGACGCACAATTGAATCTCCATTGTCATTCACTGTTATCTGCCCAGATGACGTTCAATACGTCACTTTAATGAGAAAAATGGCATTTTCAGATTTGTAGAATTTCATTAGACCTCGTGCTTAGTTGATGAGGACTTAGTTTTATAATATATGGTAGAGATAACTGCCAGGGATGGAGCCAGGGAACAAGTGCAGTGGGGAAGGATATAATTACTGGAATTTTTTTGAAGAATGCAATAACACAATAAAATTTTCAAAAATGAGAGTAGCAGATTTTGTGTTCAAATTCAAAGAGGAAGGGACAGAGAGACAACCATGCAGATTTGGGGTTCGAAGCTATTTTTCTATGTTGAATCCGAAGCAGATTCTGGGGTTCTAGTCAACGATAGTGTGTGTTAGTTTGTTTCCATAAATTTTCACTGATCATGAGGCAAATAACAATAAGTATACTGATATTCAAAATATTTGAATTCCCAATTGTATACAGTCATAAGAAATTGAAAATCCGGTATCAGATGATTCAGATCTATCAATGGTGGATTAATTCAATTTATTAAGTGACAAAAGAGAGGTTCACTTATCAATCTGTACTCTATAGAAAAAGTCCATTTGTAGGTAAATGATTACTTTGATTACAAGTGCCTCCCTTTATGATATTGTCTGCAACAAGCAACAATTAATTAAAAAGGAAAATTCCCCTCCTTCCCTGGTTCCCAGCCTTTGAGCTTGCTTCTGGTAAATGTTTGAACACACCTCCTGTTTATTAACTCTTTCATGTTGATGAGTTACTTTGCTAATTAATAGTATTTTACTTTGTGCATGAAGGTTGGAGTTATTACGCTTTCTGGATGTGTACACATTGCTGGTTTGTGTTACCTGAAGGTATGCTGAATAGCTTTTCCCTCACTGTTTTTCAAATATGTGCAATTCCATAAACGTGGTTAAGTACATACATACCTTTTAAGTTAGGAATTGCTTTGGTTTTTATATCATCTAGATTAAGAACATTGCCCATTTGCATATGCAATAAATTCAGTTTCATTTCTATGCATACGGTCTCTGAAATTCAGCTTTGCTGCATTGCAATCTAGAGTATTCTCCTTGTATGATTGTTATCACTGGGTTTTGCTAGTTACCTTCTATCTATTTTTTCCTCAAGGGATAGTGCCCCCCCCCCCCCCCCCCCCCCCCCCCCCCCCCCCCCCCCCCCCCCCCCCCCCCCC